ATGAATAGATCACTTGATGTGGAATTAACTGTACTCTCCCAGAGTAAAGCCACAATTGTAATATATTATAAATAAAATATATTAACTATATTTTGTTCCTTTGTCATGCTGAGTCTTCTGTAGTTGTGGCCTACAAATCTTATTCAGTGTTTTAAAATCATTTAATAAGATGTCAAAAATTTTTTTCTAGGCTTTCTTTTCTCAGGTGTGGATATCAGAATTGAACTTGTAATATCACTTTTCTTATGCCTTAAGAACATATTTTTTCTTTTAACTTGCATCTTATATTTTAAAAGTAAGTACTTTTGTACTTCATAATTAATGTATATTTATTCAAGAAAAAATTTTAAAGTGCCAATGAGCAAAAAATACAATAAAAATTATTGTCCCCTTCTCCCGTTGACAGGATGACCCTCATTTGGAATAATCTGCACCCACTCTTCTTCCCGCTCTCCCTCCCTCCTTCTCTTCCTTCCTTCCTTTCCTTCCTTCCTTTTCTTCCTTCCCTCCTTTTCTTTCTTCCTTCCTCCTTCCTGAAACTTTCATGCAAACAACCACCAGGTAGGGTCAAGAGAGGTGGAACCCCAAGAGAGGTGGAGTCAAGAGAGGTGGGATCCCAGCAGTATGTGGGAAAGAGAAGTGGTGGTGGCAGTGCCACTCGTCCTGGGACTACAGCTGGGGCTGTGTGAAGAGTCAAACCAGGAAGGGAATGGGGCAGCCAGGCATGTAATGGGGCAGCCAGGCATGTAATCGAGGGACTGGTTACATATGTGGAATAAAATAAACAAACTTATTGATGAGAATAGGATAATGGAGTTACAAATATGTATGGGAAAGAAGTCCAGGCAGACCCTGTGCTGTTGGATTGGAATTGAAGTATCGTCATGAACTCACATACATGTTGGATCTAGCTCTGCCCACTAGCAGGACATAAAAGCAGCTATACCATGATGGCTATGAACACTCTTAGCACCCAGATGGTGGTGTCTAATTACCAATCTCTACTGAAAGGAACCACAGCCACTTAGAGAAATGACTGATTTCAGGGCTTGGAACCTGAAACATCTCATCTAGAAGCCAGGTAGAAAGGGCTTTTGCAAGCCAAATATGCAACAAGCTGAGCATTAAAATAAGTAATGATACAATAAAGTATGACCCACTGAACAAAATAGAAATTGATGAATAAATAAATAGGGAAAATAAAACATTTTTTCTTAGACTCTAAAGACAACTAAGTGTGGCAAGTAAGATAGAAGTAGAAAATCACCATTCTTGTTAAATGCCATAGTAATAATTCATCCCTTGAAATCAGTGGGTGCTGAAACTAGTGGGTAAAAACTAGTGGGATTACATGTGTGAGCACAATGGCTCACACGTGTAATCCCAGCATATTGGGAGGCCAAGGTGGGCAGATGGCTTGAGCACAGGAGTTCAAGACCAGCCAGGGCAACGTCGTGAGACCCCATCTCTACAAAAAAAAGGCCAAAAATTTGCTAGGTATTGGTGGTGCATGTCTATAATCCCAGATACCTGAGGCAGGAGGATCACCTGAGCCCAGGAAGTCAAGGCTACAATGAGCTGAGATCACACCACTGCACTCCAGCCTAGGAGACAGAGTGAGATGGTCTCAAAAAAAGAAAAAATGTTTGAAGAGGGAGAGTATATTTACACATATCCTCACAAAATACTTATCAATTATAAAGGGAAATAAATGAGAAAGTTGGCACACACCAACTTAACCAAGGGATCAATGTCAGCACCACCAATAATGGGACAAATTGAAATCACTGGCCACCTGGTGGGATGCACTGAGGAGAGCCCAGCATTGCAGCTGTGACCTTCTGCCAAATATGAATCGTGTAATCTAATCATGAAGAAGCATCAAACAAACCAAAACTGAGGGCCACATCACATCATAACTATGCCTCAACCGTCACAAGTGTCAAGCTCATGAAAGTCAAGGAAAGGTTAGGAATTTGTTCCAGAATTAAACTAAAAGAGAGGACAAATGCAACCCATAATCCTGGGTGGAATCATTCTGATCTAAAGGACATTATTGCAAAAACCGGTAAAACTTTAAAGAAGTACAGGAATTAAAGAACAGTAACATATTAACTCAAATTTCCTGACTTCAATGACAGTGCTATGGTGGTACAGGAGAATGGCCTTGTTTGCAGAAAAAACATCGTAACGTACTCACGGGTGATGGGGCACATGGTGCAATGTCCTCTCAAATGGTTCAGGGAAAATGTTCCAAGAGCTCTTCTTGTAACTTTTCTGTCTGGTTAAAATTATTTCAAAATAAAAAGTAAAAGAATAAGCTCTAATTATTGTAAACATTCAACAATATGTATCCGAAAACTCAAAATCCATATATCTTTTGACCCAGAAATGCCACTATGAAAGATATATCCTGAGGATATAATCACAAATGTCTTCAAAGATTTAGCTTTAAACTGTTTGTCCACAGTTATTTATAGGTTAACAAAATTAGAAACAACCTACATACACTGTAGGAGGATTTTGGGACATAGATTATGATATAACAATGAAATGGAATACTAATATAGCTATTAAGGAAGATATTTGAGAGAAATATTTAATGACTTGGAAAAACGTTCATGTTATATGTTAAGTGGAGAAAGCAGGTTTGAAAACAGTATATTCAGTGTGTCCCACTATTGAACAGCAGAAAAACAAGCATCGTGTGTGTGTGTGTGTGTGTGTGTGTGGTGTGTGGTGTGTGTGAGAGAGAGAGAGAGGAAGAAAGAGAGGTGGAAAGGAAGTTAAGCAGATTCTTTACTACAAAGAAGTCCAGAACATGCCAGTATGCATTGTAAATCTCCAAAGCCAGATAGGCAAGCAGTATTTCCCAAATGTGTTTGACCTTAGAGCATTTTTGGCTTCAGAACCTCTGAGCCCAGCCTGGGCTTGTCTCTAGAAATTCCCTTGAGTGCTCACTTTTCTTCATAATGCTCTTTAATTTGCTCTCACTTCAATTTCGTTATTTATCCTACATTTTCCTGTTATGGTATTCTACTATATGTGTGTATCTTTGTCAGTTAACGCATATTACTTTTCAAACACAATGTGCAGGATTATAAATAATAATCAGCAATAAGAATTAGACTGTCCTGGGGAAGGTCCAGACAGCCTTGGGAAAGCTTTGAGGAGGAAGGTGACCTGGGGGTGTGTTTTTATTCCGTTTGAGTGCCATCTTTCAGACCAAGAGTTCCCTCCACATTCCTGAGGGATGTGAGGGTCAGCTGGAGATCCACTCCTCCCCAATGCACCCTCCCCACAACCAACCAACACTTCCGTGTCTTGGATTGAAAAGTTTCTAACCCCATTCTAACTTGGAAAGACTTGAAAGCAACAGACAAGAGGGTGTGAGCTTGGCCCTATGTCATCTGGGCCCTGTGTCCTGCATGGCTGATAGAAAGGGCTGCTGAGTCACCGTCAGTTCTGAGACGGGCTAAAGAATGGATAAATAAATTGTAGGATATCCATAAAATGGAATCCTATTCAGTAACAAAAAGAAAAGACCAATATATGCAACAACATGGATTAATTAAAAAAAATTATACTGAGCATTAAAAAAAAAAAGCCAGACACAAAGTAGTATATATTGTATAATTTCATTCCTAAGAAGTTCTAGAAAAGCAAACAATATTCTATGGTAAAAGAAATCAGAACTGTGGTTGTCACTGGGTGACAGATGGGGATTGCCTACGGAGGAGCAGGAGAAATGTTTCTGCAGTGCTGGACATGTTCCATCTTGAGAGGAATGTGGGTTACATAGGCACATGCCATTGTCACCACTCATTGAACCACACACCACCTGTGCATTTCACTACATATCCATTATACCTCAATTTAAAAAACAACTGGAGAGACAATATGTTTCTATTGATCTTTTATTATATTTTCCATTTTTTAGTTCTAAGAGTTTCATTTAGTTCTTTTTTATTGTTCTCACGTCTCGTGAGATTCTTCTTTGCTGGTTACATTCATCTTTTCCTGCAGCTTCTTTAACATATTTACCACAGATATGTTAAAGTCTTTGATAATTCCAACATCTGGATCAGCAATGGGCCTGTTTCCATTACAGATTTTACTCTTGACTGTGGATCACATTCTCCTGCTTCTCCCATGCCTTGCCATTAAAAAAAAAAATTGTATGTTGGACATCGTGTCTAGAAAGTAAAGACTGAGGCTGGGCATGGTGGCTCATGCCTGTAATCCAAGCACTTTGGAGGCCAAGGCGGGCGGATCACCTGAGGTTGGGAGTTCAAGACCAGCCTGACCAACATGGTGAAACCCTGTCTTGAAAAAAAAAAAAAAAAAAAAAAAAAAGCAGAAAGTAAAGGCTGAAACACACACACATATGAAATTCACCATCAGATGGAATGTCCTTTCTTTTATTACATATCTCAGGTGAGGAGCTGATTAAACTCCTTTTGTTTAAACATTAAGGCCCTACCAAAGGCATAAAAGCCTATTAAGGCCTCCTAAAGGGATACAATCAACTCAACTCCCAACTGGATCAAGGAGATCTCTCTTTGCTTTTCAGCTTTAGTTGCAGAATCTCTTTGTGCCTCAGTTTATCTCTCTGTAAAATGGGGGTGATCACCTCATATGACTGCAGGGTGAGTCAATGAGGGTGAGTCAATGAGGTAACATGGGTGAAGTGATTAGAGCAGGGCCCAAAACACAGGAATGCGGTGGCGGGGGGCGGTGTGCCATCAGTGTATTCTACGTGTGGACTGCATTGGCACCAGGCAAGCCCTTCTTTAAGATCTGAGAGGCTTGAGGCTCTGTGCGGGCTTTCTCCCCGACCTTTGTAAGCTCCCCTCCAGACGTTGTCCAAGGCTAGTCTGCTGGAGGCTGATATGACATCCTCCTGTTAACAAGTCTCCCATTTGTGTCTCTGGCCAGGCATCCCCCCTGAGCACCAGGGTTTCTCAATTGACAGAGAATGTCTCTGACTTCTCTGATCTTCACTGTGAGAGCTCAGGGCCTCTCTCCACCCAGCGTGGGAACTCGGGGCCTCTCTCTCCACTCTGTGTGGGGCCCCAGGGCCTCTCCTTCCGCCCGGCATCAGGATATTGACGGTCACTGTGCAGACCATAATGCTTTCCACTAATCCGTTGAGATGAGGCAACGTAACAGCAGTATTCCTGTCCATAGAAATACATGGAAGGGAGCTGATATCCTCATCTCTCAATGTGATGGTGCTACATGCTTTGATCGCTGAATGCGTCTGTACGCTTGATCTCAAGAGGAAGAGCAGTGAAGAGGAAAACAGTCAACTATTTTTTGTTTGCACAAGTAGCACAATAGATTTTTTAAATGAATTCAATAGTTTTTTCCAGATTTGATAAAACTGAAAGGGATTTTTGATTTTTGTTTCTGTTGGGCTGATTTAAAGAAGAGATGATAGCTGGGCGCAGTGGCTCATGCCTGTAATCCCAGCACTTTGGGAGGCAGAGGTAGGCAGATCACCTGAGGTTGGGAGTTCGAGACCAGCCTGATCAACATGGAGAAAACCCATCTCTACTAAAAATACAAAATTAGCTGGGCAGGGTGGCAGGAACCCGTAATCCCAGCTACTCAGGAGGCTGAGGCAGGAGAATCGCTTGAACCCGGGAGGCTGAGGTTGCAGTGAGCCAATTTTGCACCATTGCACTCCAGACTGGGCAACAAGAGCAAAACTCCGACTCAAAAAAAGAAATCGCAAAAAAAAGAAGAAGAGATGATATTAAAAAGATAAAAAACAACAAGCAATAAACCATAAAGGAACGCCCCTACCACCTGAATGCCTCCAAAGCCAGTGCAGGAATTACCAGCTCAAGAGGCAGCTTCAGCAGACACTGCTGCAGTGCACAAGACAGACTCTGGGAGGCATTATTCCCCCCATTCAGGGGGCAACAGAGCCATTCTCAGGCCGGTTTAGAGAGCCCTTGACTTCTACAGATCCCAGGGTTTCAGCCAGACCTAGAAACCTGATGGCCGGCCTGAATGGGCAGACTAACAAAATGCCAGGAAGCCATCAGGGCAGTGCCGGGGATCAAGACGCTTCAGCCTCTCCCATGATGGGGGAGCTACTGAGATCGCAAGTGGAGAGTCCCCTAGCCAGAGGGTTCCATTTGACCCAATTCAGTACTCTAAGGTTAAAAAAGGAAAAGTAAACCATGTAATATTCAAAATTCCTGGAAATGATGAAATTTGAAAACCAAAGAGAAATGCTAACAAGGGGTCCTCCGTGCCACCTACCATGTGCATCATGTGGATGGCAATTTCAAAATACTGGCTGATACAGTTCTTGCATGGAGGAGGGAGAAACAGATTGCTAGTTAAACAAATCACTGCAACAATGCACCAAAAACCAACCGGCCCAAAAAACCTCAGCATTTCCAACAGAGTCAGCTCTTGACTATCAAGCAAGTTTCTAAAGTAGAATTTGATAAATGTCTGCTCGGGGCCAGTTTTAGTAAGATGAAAATGACAGTTTGTTTATTCTATCATTTGTAATAAGGAAACGTATGCAAAACATGTTTTGAAAAAATGTGTCTTAAGGGACCTTAAAGATTCCATCCTCCTCTCTCCTTTATCTTCTAACCCCACTTGCCCCAGGATCATACAGCAACTATTCAGTGGCAATTTGGAGAGAAGGCAGCTAGGAGAGACACCGCTTAGGAACTGGACATTACCTTTCAAAACCATTTACACCATCTCAGATGGGACTGTAAAGCTTAAATCCAGCAGAGTCAAGTCATAATGATTTTTAACTGCCTATTTTCAGAATATCTAGAGACTTCCTGTAGACGCCACAGAATTGCTTGTTGTATCTGGGGAGATTCTACAGATAGAGGACCAAAGGTAATATGCTACAGCCTCTCAGAGAGGGTTCAATTGGGAAACCTATTTAAATGATGTTATGCAAAGACACTTAAAATGAGGCTACAGGATTCCTAGGCTTTCAAAATCGATGAATGTTAACCTGACTGATATTCCTAATGGAGAATAAGTCAGAAAGAATAAGTCAGGTGGGCATGGTGGCTCACTCCTGTAATGCCAGCTACTTGGGAGGCTGCAGAGAGGACTGCTTGAACCCAGGAGATAAAGGCTGCAGTGAGCTATGATTGTGCCACTGCACTCCAGCCTGGGCGACAGAGCTAAACACTGTCTCAAGAAAAAAAGAGGAGAGAAAAAGCCTCATCTCCTAGAGCCAGCCACTCCCACTCAAAAAGCCTCTCTAGATCCCAAAGGACAGTGATTACAACCAGCTTCCCACCTGCCAGACTAGCAGGTTTCTTCAGTTGTCATGTACTAAAAATGGCATTTTGGTTTTACACATCCACCTGAGTGTGATTAATAATGTTGGAATAGGGACCCAGAATGGAACCATCTACCTAAGGGGCCAAGAAAATGAGTTTCTGAGCCCGGAGGACTAAGGGAGGTTTCCAGGGGAACCATGGTTAGCGACCATGCTTGCTGCAGGAGCTCAGCTGGAATTCTGAGTGTCAAATAAGGCCGGGCACAGTGGCTCATGCCTGTAATCCCAGCACTTTGGGAGGCCAAGGTGGGAGAATCACTTGAGGTCAGGAGTTTGAGACCAGCCTGGGCAACACAGTGAAACCCCACTCTACTAAAAATACAAACATTAGCTGGGCATAATGGTATTCACCTAAGTAGCTAACTCAGGAGGCTGAGGCAGGAGAATCACTTGAACCGGGGAGGCGGAGGTTGCAGTGAGCTGAGACGGTGCCACTGCACTCCAGCAAGACTGGACAGAGCAAGACTGTCCCAAACAAAAAAAAGAGGGGAGTAACAAGTGTTTCTACAGGGTTCCTAATACACAGGGTGCCTTGCAGGAAAGAAAGTCTTCCCAGAAGTGGTCTCCTACTTTTTGTCGCCAGTTTTGTCACATATCCAGACTCCATTGACCAAAAGAGATTCAAGTCTCCACTACCTTTTCAAGCTGCTTTCTGGGGGAAAAAAAAAAAAAAAAAAAAGCGTGCTGTCTGAACGCCCTACTCCAGCCTCCAGAACCCAGCTCCCAGGCCCAGGGCATCCTCAATGCACAAGGACACAAGGCTCACTGTGTCGGCCATGCCAGGGCCCAAGTGGTCACACTGCTCCTTGACATGCTCTGCCAAGGCCTGGACAAAGGTGGAGTTGGTCTGTACAGCAGTCTGGATGTCAGTCACCATCTGATTGCGGTCCTGGCAAACGTCCCTATCAACCTACAGGAGAGGCAGTTAGGTCAGCAACTTAAGAGGACCCTTATATTCAGGGCTGCAGCATTAGAGGGCACTTACTGACCAGTTCCTAAGGTGCTTTACTGGCTCTCAAGTTACTGATTACTTAAAATCAATTGAGTGTTCATTATAGTAACAGAATAGTATAAAAAGGAGGTTTAGTATAAAAAGGTTGGCCAGGCACAATGTCTCACACCTGTAATCCCAGCATTTTGGGAGGCCAAGGCAGGCAGGTCGCTTGAACCCAGGAGCTTAAGACCAACCTGGACAACGTGGCAAAACAAAAAAATACAAAAATTATCCAGGTGTGGTGGTGTGTGTCTGTGCTTCCAGCTACTTAGGAGGCTAAGGTGGGAGGATCACTTAAGCCTCAGAGGTGGAGGCTGCAGTGAACCATGATTACACCACTGCACTCCAGCTTGGGTGACAGAATGAGACCCTGTCTCAAAAATAAAAGAAGTAAAATTTTCTAAAGGGGCTTCATCTTTGCATATTTTAAATATCCCAATATTTAGAAACTTCCTGGTACAAGCATTTAAAGGCTGGCTCATGTAACTGCAGAGTCAAGCATAGGGATAAGCCCCAGTTTAAGAATTGCAGGTGCACTCTCTGCCCTTTTTGTCTCTCATCTCCAGTGCAACCAAAAATGGGGCCCTCAGCAGCCAGCTGGTTGTCTTACCTTTGGCTGGGGCTTGCTGTGGGGCCCAACCTGAGGGCAGAGGAGGAGGGGGATGCTGGCCATGGAGGGGGCCACCAGCTCACTCATGTCCAGCTCTGGGCTCTTATTGGACTCCAGCTGCTTCTGGTGATTCAGCTCTGCCAGGTGCTTCTGGAGAGACTTGCAGAGGCTGAGAGCAGAGCACACCTCCCCGGGACAGCTCTGGTGGGAAGGAAAGAAGCCCCACTGAAAATCTTCTCCCCAGGGGGAAACATGAGCGGTCAGCTGGTGCCTCTGAATTAGTCCCTCTCCTTAAATCCCTTAAAAGAAACACAAACCTGTTGTCTAAATTCAAACTGCTCAGCATACCTGAAAATGTCAAAATTACCCAATCCAAGTGGCTAACCACACAGCAGCCCCTAAGCTTCCTCAATTATCCTGTTGGGCAATGATACAGTTTGGTTGTGTCCCCACCCAAATCTCATCTTGAATTGTAGCTCCCATAATCCCCACTCGTCGTGGGAGAGACCCAGTGGGAGGTAATGGAATCACAGGGGCGGGTTTTCCCATGCTGTTCAGTGATAGTAAGTCTCATAAGAGCTGATGGTTTTATAAAAGGCAGTTCCCCTGCACACACTCTCTTGCCTGCTGCCATGTAAGACGTGGCTTTGCTCCTCCTTCACCTTCTGCCATGATTATGAGGCTTTCCCAGCCATGTGGAACTGGGAGTCCATTAAACCCTTTTATTCTATTTTTATTAATTACCCAGTCTCGGGTATGTCTTTATTAACAGCATGAAAATGGACTAACACAGGCTTCCTAAATGTTACCTCTGCTCCCCTCACCTCTTCTTTAAAGGAATAGGAGGCCAGGTGTGGTCGCTCACACCTGTAATCCCAACACTTTGGGAGACCAAGGTGGGTGGATCGCCTGAGGTCAGGAGTTCAAAACCAGCCTGGCCAACATGGTGAAAGCCTGTCTCTACAAAAATATAAAAATTAGCTGGGCATGATGGCAGGTGCTTGTGATCCCAGCTACTCAGGAGGCTGAGGTGGAAGAATTGCTTAAACCCAGGAGGCAGAGGTTGCAGTGTGCCAAGATCGTGCCATTGCACTTCATCCTGGGAGACACTGTGAGACTCTGTCATCTCAAAAAAATGATAAAATAAAAAATTAAAGGAATAGGAGCTTCTGGTTGGAGGAGGAGAGTCAGCAATTCTAAGCCACTTCCCCCGCAAAATGAGCTAACACAATAGGTTTCAACACCTTCCATATGCTGATGCCTCCCAAGTGTTTACCTGCACTTTTGTACCCACGCCCACCCCACAGACATCTCAAACTTACCCCTCATTCTATCCTGCCTGACCAGCTCCATTTTAGCAAATAACTCCACCTTCATCTTCATGGAAACCTAGGAGTCATTTGGAGCTCTTCCTCTCCTATACCTGCCCCTCATGAGCAAGTCCAGTCCATTTAATCCTCCAAAAGGGAATTTGCATCTGCCACTTCCACTGTCCACATCTCACTCACAAGGCAATGTCCTCCTGAGGGTCCTGAAGGCTTCCCCGCTTGCAGCTCCCCATCATCGGGACCTATACTGAGACCAAGCCCACCGAAACCCCCTTACAGTCATGGCACTCCAAGGACTGCATCTGCAATCCTTGAAGATGGCCTAGAAGGCCTTGCCACATAACCCCTGCCTTCCTCATGAAAACCTTGGTCCTGTCTTGGGACAGTCCTGCTCCACTGCCCCCCTTCAGTTACTTAAAACACCTCTGCTTTGTCAAGGCCTTTCCAAATTCCACAAAGCTAGCTCCATGTTCTTTGCTGAAAACCCAGTTGGTGGCATAGGGTCTGTGTGTAATACATACTTAATGAATGAAAGATGAGCATCTTTGTAGCTGAACACCCAAGTACATTCCCTGGATTATTCCTTAATTATAAGTTCACAGAAATAAATTCACAGAAGTGAAGTTTTGTGCTTGCTTACAGGGGCCAGTTAAAGACAGGACATGATCGATCCAACTCACAGCTCTGAAGGTTATGTGGGTTTACTTTCCTGCAGCAGTCCGACCAGTCCCCAGCACCCTCGCTAACCCCAGGACAAGTTACATCAGAGTGGCCTGCTGTGCCAAAGCTATTCTGGATGCCAAACTGTAGCAAGATGCTGTTGAGGAATTCCAGAACTGTGAACAGACTTTCCATTTTAATCAATCTACTCTAGGCTACTTCCTCTCCTGGGCCCCAAAAACATCTTCAGGGAAAAGCCTATTCCCCCATCACTTACCATTTCTCCTTTAATGATGTCCAGAATGACCAGGAGGTAGGAGTCCACTATCTCCTTGCATGAAGCAGACATGTTGGGTTTAGGAAGCCAGTCGCAGGTCTTCTCCAAGTGAACAAGGATCTCCACCTATGAGAGGACACCAGGTCAGAATCAGGACCGGCTTTCCTCCCTGGAAATAAACAGCCTGAAGGCAAGAAGCCCTCAATAGCTACCAGAAAAGACAAGCCTGGAAAACAACCAGCCCTCAGGGAAAAGGACTTGGCCATGGTTAGCTATGGCTCTATCAGATCCATCAGGCAAAAGCAGACATGACATTCAAAATGAAGGCCCTCCCACCTGCTGTCTCACAGGCATGGGGAATTCTAAGGCAGAGATGGCCAAACTGGACCTAGGTATTAGTGACAGCAACACATCTCAAGTATCTGGGCATTTAGTCCCGGGGTCAGCAAAGTAGACCCTTCAGTTTATTTTTGTACAACTCAGAATGGAGAATGGTTTTCACATTTATAAAGCATTTTAAAAAGAGACTGTGACAAGGACAGTATATGGCTCATACAGCCTAAAATCTTTTCTCCTTGGTCCTTTGTAGAAGACGTCTGCCACCCTCAGGCCTACTCCATTGCACTTCAGACACCAGAATCACAGCTCTTTTAGGAACCAGTGCGTGTGCCCGCAGCTCAGGCCCCATCCCCACTCACAGCAGCTCACCTTGATGGCATTGTCTTTCAGCATATCACCCGCTGAGGTGACAACGTCTTTGCATATGTCACAGGGAAGGGATTTCTAAGAGAAAGAACACAAAAATGTGTATATTTAGTACATAAATTCATACGCCACACAGCCGGAACCCCCCCGTGGCCTTTTCCATATTCTGTCTAACCAGGGTTATGATCATGACCACGCTCCCCTGTCACATCCTGGCTCTCCACCCTGCATGAGCAGCACTGGGGCACCTCAGGGAGGGAAGGGAGTGCGACTCACTACAACACACTGTGATTTACAGGATACAGAACCTTGGCTCCTGCCCAAGCAGCACCCCACGTGGCACAGGTCAATTTCACATCAATGCTCACAACACCTTAGGAAACTGAAGCTCAGGTGAAATCACAGTCACATCAGTACAGCAGAGAGGTGGGTGGGACAGAGAAACAAACGCCTTACCTATTTCTGAAGGCACACACACACTGTGTTTCCTCTGCCTCCCAGGCAAGTTAGGGAGGCACGGCCACCACAAAGCCAATCTTCTGAGAAGCCTGGGCACCAAGACCCCCACCTGGCCCAGAGGCCATGGAAATTCTAGTTGGTTCCTGCAGCTCTTGGGGAAGAATGATCGGGCTCCCTTCTTGACGTCAACTGACTTTCCACCCATGGAGAAGAAACTACCACGTCTGGGTGAGACTGAGGAACACCTATGACTTAGCTGCATTTAGAGAAACCAATTTGAACCTAGTCAGGCTAAAACAGTCATCCTTTGGTATCTGAGGGGGTATCAACTCCAGGACCCCCGTGGGCACCCAAATTCCAGGATGCTCAAGTTTCCCAGACTGCCCTCAGCATCTGTGGAAACAGAAGGTCAAAGGTACTGTGCATGGAGCCATAGCAAGAGAGGGCTGGGCCATGACAAGACCGGCCAATCAAGGAAGTTTTAAAGTCCTCGCTGGACACACATTAAACCCGGAAACCGGAAGTAGTATTAAAAACAAGACTGAAGGCAAATTAGAAACCAAATCTGAAAGTAGTTTCGGCCAGTGGTGGTAGCCCACACCTGTAATTACAGCACAGTGGGAGGCAGGAGGATGACCTTAGCCCAGGGGTTCAAGACCAGCCTGGGCAACATGGTAAAAACTCTTATCTCTACAAAAAATATAAAACTTAGCCAGGCATGCTGGGGCACAACTGTGGTTCCAGTTACTCAGAAGGCTGAGGTGGGAAAATTGCTGGAGCCCAGGCGGTTGAGGCTGCAGTGAGCCATGATTGCACCACTGCACTCCAGCCTAGGCAACAGAGCCAGATCCTGTTTCAAAAAAAAAAAAAAAAGAGGCAAGTATGGCCACAGAGGCAGTTTTCCAGGAAATAATTCACAAGCTGTTTTTAAAAGAATGGTGCTGCCAGTGCGGCGGCTCAGATCTGCAATCCCAGCACTTTGGGAAGCTGAGGCGGGTGGATCACCTGAGATTGGGAGTTCAAGAGCAGCCTGACCAACATGGAGAAACCCCATCTCTACTAAAAATACAAAATTAGCCGGGCATGGTGGCACATGTCTGTAATCCCAGCTACTCGGGAGGCTGAGGCAGGAGTATCACTTGAACCTGGAGGCGGAGGTTGCAGTGAGCTGAGATCATACCATTGCACTCCAGCCTGGGCAACAAGAACAAAACTCTGTCTCAAAAAAAAAAAAAAAAAAGAATGGTGCTAAGTTTTCTTCTCTTACTGCAGGAGCACTAGCGGCCACTGACAAGTTTTTTAGAACTCAAAGTCTGCTCAAACATAGCCCGTACCACATGATGGCCGGCACAGCCCTGAGTGAGCCCAGGGCAGCAGCTCTGCGTTCAGCTGGCACGGTCAGCAGAGCGTCTCCCGAGAGGGCTCAGGACCGTGAGGAAGGCACCCAAGGCTTGTCACCTTAGACCAGCCTCCCACATTAATATGCTGTATTTTGCATCATTTAGGTGAAAAATCAGTGCTAGCTTCTCCAGTGCAGTTAGAGCTGGAAATCCAATTTAAATGGCAACCACACTCCAGGATTTCAATCAGTGGTTTGCCTGTTTGAGAGGAGTGAGGAGAGAACAAAATATCAAACAAGCAGAAAGTGCCTGAAAAGCTCGTCATGTACTTTTTGGAGTGAGTGACCAAGGACAGAGACGTGCCTATGTGCACAGTGCTGGGAATGGGCACTGCCAACCCACTGGCCTCTTGTCTAGGGTGAGAAGTGGGATCTGCACAGAGGTCCAGGAGGCAGCATGGGGCACACGGAGCAGCAGGCACAGAGGACCTCATCCTGTCTGCCACAGCAACCAGGCAGCCTCAGGGGAGTGAAACATTAACCTCTCTGGGCCTCCATCTCCTCTGCTGGAAAATGGGTACACTCACAAATAGGTCTCCCCTCCCACACAGGGTCACAGTGAGAAGCAAACAAAACCAGGCAAGAGAAAGTGCCCTGTCGATATGGCAGTGAATTACAGCTGCTCTAACAGGACCCCAGAGGAGTGCTGGGACTGGGACGCAGGGCAGCGGCCACTCACCGCTGTCTGCTTGTTCCAAGCGGTCTGCAAGCAATGCTTCACCGGCCCAAAGTCAGACGCCGTCTTCACATTCTGGCACCACACTGCCGGGGCTCTGCAGCATTCTTTCAGCCCAAGGACCGGCCGGCTAGAGCTAAAAGGAAAGCCAATATGAGGAGGTGGCCTGTTTTTCAGCAAATCAGATCCACCTGATCATTTCCCCAGGACTGAGGGCTGACCGTGGCCTTGAGCTGGACGTCCCCACTCGGCCCCTCACCCAGCTATATGAGACACCAGCCACACAGATGCATTCCTGTCCTGGTCAACAAGCTGGCTTGTCACAGTCACCGGGGCTGGAAGAGACTCATTTATCTGGTTCACTTTCATCCTCTCCAACTACCTTTAAACAGTGTCAGGGAGTATCAGAACTTTAAATCCTCATAACCTTAAAATGTTTTTAGAAGTAACGAAAGAAACCACAGGAGAGAAGACTGACAAATTCAAATACAGGGACGATTTTGATTTCCGTAGAATGAATAACAGCTGTAGAATGATTTTTTAAAAAAGAAAAACAAACCTGTAGCAAAAGAAAACCAGGACTCATATCCTTATTACATACAATAATGGTCAGCTGCAGTGGCTTACACCTGTAACCCCAGCACTGTGAGAGGCCAAGGTGGAGGAGCACTTGAGTCTGGGAATTCAAGACCAGCCTGGGCAACATGGCAAAACCTCATCCGTAAAAAATTAGCCCTGCCTGGGAAACAAGAGCAAAACTCTGTCTCAGAAAAAAGAAAGAAAGAAAGAAAGAAAGGCAGAATACTTAGGTGAGTGGGGAGAATGCACCCCGTGATCTTTCTAGAAGGCGCTACATAAACATATGTGAGTACAGGAAGACACAATGAGCGAGCAAGTGACTCTGTGGGGGGGGGGGCAGGCAGCATAAGCCTGAGTGGTGAGTTAAATGACAGGGTCCCTACCTCAATTATTTTGCTCCAAAAATGTCTTCCTTTTGTTGGGTGCTATAGCTCACACCTGTAATCCCAGCACTTTGGGAGGCTGAGGTAGGAGGATCGAGTGAGCCCAGGAGTTTCAGACCAGCCTGGGTAACATAGTGAGACCCCATCTGTATTTAAAAAAAAAAAAAAAAAAAGATACAGGCCGGGCGTGGTGGCTCATGTCTGCAATCCCAGCACTTTGGGAAGCCAAGATAGGTGGATCATCTGAGGTCAGGAGTTTGAGAACAGCCTAGCCAACATGGCGAAATCCTATCTCTACTAAAAATACAAGAATTTTTATATTTATTTTATTTATATTTTTGAGATGGAGTCTTGCTCCGTTGCCCAGGCTGCAGTGCACCCGCCACCACACCCAGCTAATTTTTGCATTTTTGGTAGAGATGGGGTTTCACCATATTGGCCAGGCTGGTCTCAAACTCATGAACTCAAATGATCCACTTGCCTCGGCCTCCCAAAGTGCTGGGATTGCAGACATTAGCCACCACACTGGCCCAAGAGGTGGTTTTTGTTTGTTTGTTTGTTACTTTTCTTTTTTGAGATGGAGTCTCTCTCTATCACCCAGACTAGAGTGCAGTATCGAGACGCCAGGTCACTGCAACCTCTGCCTCCAGGTACAAGCAATTCTCCTGCCTCAGCCTCCTGAGTAGCTGGGACATAGGCACATGCCACCAAGCCCGGCTAATTTTTGTATTTTTAGTAGAGATGGGGTTTCACCATACTGGCCAGGCTGGTATCTAACTTCTTACCTCGTAATCCGCCTGCCTCGGCCTCCCAAAGTTCTGGGATTACAGGTGTGAGCCACCGTGCCTAGCCAAGAGTTTTTAATTATTTAATTTATTTTTTTGAGATAGGGTCTCACTCTGTCACCCAGGCAGGAGTTTGCAGTGGTGCAATCCCACTCACTGCAATCTCCACCTCCCGGGTTCAAGCAATTCTCCTGTCTCAGCCTCCCGAGTAGATGGGACTACAGCACTTGCCACCACGTCTGGCTAATTTTTGTATTTTTGGTAGAGATGGATTTTCACTATTTTGGCCAGGTGGGTCTTTAACTCCTGAGCTCAGGTGATCCGCCCGCCTCTGCCTTCCGAAGTGCTGGGATTACAGGTGTTAAGCCACTACGCCCAGCATTTTTTTTTTTTTTTTTTTTTTTTTTTGAGACAGGGTCTCGCTCCGTCACCCAGGCTGGAGTGGAGTGGCTCAATCATGACTCACTGCAGCCTTGACTTTCTAGGCTCAAGTGATCCTCCTGCCTCAGCCTCCTGAGTAGCTGAGACTACAGGTGTGCACCACCACAACTGGCTAATTTGATTTTTTTTTTTTCTTGGAGGCACAAGGTCTCACTCTGTTAGCCGGACTGGTCTTGAACTCCTGGAGTCAAGCAATCCTCCCACCTCAATCTCCCAAAGTGCTGGGATTACAGGCATGAGCTAGTGCTCCTGGTGGCCTGGGTTCAAATCTTAGTAAGCTAGAGCCCTGTGAGACCTTGGGGAAGTCACTGCTCTTCTGCGAGCCTCAGTTTCCACTTCTGCAAAATGGGAACATAGTGGTGGGAAGGGCAGAATCACAGGGAGGATGTTTACGTGCCCAGCAGGGGAGCCACTCACTCAAATCTGTTTTAGGAAGGTCCCAGCAGGTTCGAAGAGGAAGGGGTTCTGAGGGGAGGGGACTGGGGGGCCGTGGGGATGGCCATGGAGGAGGAGGACCCAGAGACCAGGCAGGGTGGTCAGAGAGGCAGGAGGACAGCCAGCAATATGCATTGAAAAGGGACAGATATCGGCCAGGTTCGGTGGCTCACACCGATAATCCCAGCACTTTGGGAGGCCGAGGTGGGAGGATCACCTGAGGTCAGGAGTTCCAGACCATCCTGGCTAACACGGTGAAATCCCGTCTCTACTGAAAATACAAAACTTAGCTGAGGGTGGTGGTGCACACCTATAATCCCAGCTACTTGGGAGACTGAGGTAGGAGAATTCGCTTGAACTCGAGAGAAAGAGGTTTCATTGAGCCAAGATCCCACCACTGTACTCCAGCCTGGGCAACAGAGGGAGACTCGGCTGTGTCTCAAAACAAACAAACAAACAAAAAACAAAACAAAACAAAACAAAATAGACCTCCCCAAGCAGGTGGAAGGCTGGAGGACTGGGAAGGGCCTGTCTGGTGCTCCGGTCCCCCCTGTGATCACACATAAAACAAGCTCTCCACGATCCAGGGAGCCCAGCCTGAGCCTCCCCTCCACCCAATCTCCCGGGGCCGCCCAGCCACGCTCCTCCTCCTCGAGGCCGCCCAGAAGGGTCTTGGCTCTGACCATATCCGCAGCCTCCACCTTGATGAGCCGGTGCTTGAAAGAGCCATACTTGGCATCTCCGGGGTTCTTGGAGTCCCCGGGGCCCGCGCGGTCCGGCTCCAAGTGGCTCTCCGCGTCCTCATAGTGGTCCTCGAAGTCCAGGTTCTTCTGCTCCCAGGAGGCCCTCAGGATGTCGCTCTCGGTGTAGTTCGGGGTGGGCGGCTGCGGAGGGGGCCTCCGACCGCCAAAGCTCAGGTAGTCCCATAGCCACTTGTTCATTTGGGCGCCTGTCACCCCCAATCCGGCCACTGTCAGAGGCACCCCCACATGCGCTTCTCCGGGCCCCTTTCCCCAGGGAGAAGGAGGAGGAGGAAAGGAAGAGCGGGGAAAGAGGAGAAAGATCAGGTGCGCCCTGTGGCGGGGCTCTGGATGGATAGAGGGAAGGAAAAGGTGAACGAGGAGGAGAAAAACGAGGCGACAGAGGAGGGAGGAGGACAAGCCCACCTCAGCCCGGCTGGGGAAGCACCGCGGGGGAAGGGGCACCCCGCAGGGCCCTGAACGCCGCGCGCTGGGGGCCAGGGCGAGCTGCATCCCCGGAGGAGCGTGGAGTTCTCGCGGGCAGCGCGGTTACCTGGCTCTGCTCAGCCGCCCGCAGCCTCCGGGAAGCTACAGGGTCCAGTCCTGGGGTCCGAAAATAGGGGCCAGTGCCGCCTGCGGACGCTCCCGGCCCCTCGCCCAGCCCGGACTCCTGGGTTCTCAGCGCAGCAGGCGGGCTTCCCAGGGGCGCGGGCGTCGTGAGCAAAGTTGCCGCGCGGAGACTGTGACCTCGGCGGGACGCATTCTTTGTTGCGCCCCTCTCGGTTCAGCTGGGAGCCCGAATCCCAAGGTCCCGGCCGGGCAGCTCCGATCCGCCCTAGCCACTCGCACAAAGGGAAATAAAAACCTCCTCCAATCCCCTTTCACGCTTTCGGAGAGGACTTTCCCAGCCGCCGCTAGTGCACCGCCAGGAGTTGGGACGCTGGAGAGGGGGCTTGCGGGAAGAGAGCCAGGTTCCCACCCGTGTCTCCCAGTCCCTGTAGGGTAATTTTGGATTAATCCAAAATTAGATAAGAAACAGATAAGTATATGGGCAATGAGTAAATAGAAAGGTGGTAGATTTAAATCCAACATTATTTGCATTGCAGGTAGATAGCCTAAACGCTCCATTTAAAAGGCAGAGGCAGAAAACTTAGATTCATAAAGAAGCAAAACAAATTATATATCATCTACAAGGCACGCTGTATAAATATATAGCGATAAGATAGAAGCAAAAATGAGACAAGATGAGCAAAATACTACACAAGCAGTAATTATGAGAAGGCTGAACTGGTAATAATTATATCACACAAAGTAATCTTCACAACAAGGGACACTCCTATGGGTAAAGGACACGGTCTAAGGACACAGGAGTATATCCATTAAGAGGACATAGCAATTCTAAAGGTATAAAGCAATCCTAAAGGTATAAAGCACATAACAGAGCTTCAAAGTACACAAAGCAAAGGCTGAAAGCACTGAAAACAGAAATAACATATCGGCGGTTGTAGTTGGGAATGCTAACACTTGTTTCTTAGTCTTTGGTAGAACAAGTAGAGAGGAAATCAGTAAGAATATAGAAAACATGAACTGCACTGCCTTCCTGTCTGATTTAGTTGATATTTATGCTACTCTCTACCTAAAAATGACAAAATACATATAATTCCAAATGTACATGAACTATTTAAAATAGACCCTATTCCAGAACATAAAATGTAGCTCAATAAACTGTAAATGAATTAAATCATTTAAGAATATATTATCTGAATCAAATGGAATTAAAATAGAATAACAAGGACATATTTGACAAATCCATTCACTATTTGAAAATTAAACAAGATACTTCTAAATAGCCTCTAGTGGAAAAAACACACAAGATAAGGTAGAGAATAGTTTGCATTAAATGAAAAATACAACATACAGAAATTACAGGAATGCAGGTAAAGCAATCTGTAGAACAAAATGTGTAACGTATAAATAGAAAAATTTATAAATAAATGATTATTTCAATTGTAGAAATCAAAAAATAAAGGCAATAAATTTAAGCAGAAGTAAATAGAATTAAGAAGATAATAAATGCCTGGACAGTTGAAGATGATGGCCACAGTCTAGGACCCCTTCCCCCAGTTTTTCTCTGGAAAATATGGAGAACAACAAGAAAGGAAAAGTAAACAAAGCCACATTGTCAGCACAATTTGAAGACAGAAAATCACCAAAATTCAACATAACTAAGGATAAATAAGGGTGGGATACCAAATTTCAGTGTTCAATCTCTCATGTCCTCCTCTAATCTGCCCCCTGACCCTGCTTCAAAACTTTTTTTTGGAAACAAAAACCAATAAAAACAGTCAGTGAAGAGGAAAGAAGGGGGTTATTCCTGGGCCTAAGGTTGATCTAAAATCATTTCCAGAAAGACCTATTCTATCCTTAATCTGAAAATACAAAAAGTGTTTGAATTATTCACAAGGTATTTAAATGTATGCATGAATTGAAGTGGCAGTCCTCAAAATGCATAACTTTGGGGAGAGACATGACATTTGGTAATTTGGTAGAGAAAGGGAAGAGAGGAAAGGGGAAAATTTGAAGGCCCTATAAGATAAAAGAAATGCACAAAATCAAAGGAAACATAACCCCTTTCACCCACTACAAACTCATGCTAAAATAAAATTTGGTAAAGTATCTGAACTTTGCTCTATTAAAGAAATGGGCATTGTTAAACCACTCCAATCCTTCAACTATGAAAAATCAAAGTTTAACAGAGCAATTCCAAGAAAATGCTAAGATTAAATTCAGCATGCATCAATTGAGGAAAATCCCCATATCTCTGCTAAATAGTCATGAAACAAAATAGAGCTACAGGTAAGCCCTCCAAGTGAAATTAGGTGTACTTAAGCAAGTATTTAGGATATGAAAAAGAGCTTTAATTTAAAAATTCAAGTCAATAGCATTTCTAAACACTAACAACAAACTAGTAAAAATTGAAATTAAGAAAATAATCTCATTTACAATAGTAATAAATTATTTTATTATTGAAAAATAAATTTCACCAAGAAGGTAAAAGAGCTGTAGACTGAAAACTATAAAATATTAATGAAAGAAATTGAAGACACAAATAAATGAAAAGATAGCCTATGTTCATGGATTAGAAAAATTAATGTTGTGAGACTATCCATACTACCCGATATGATTTGGATATTTGTCTTCTCCAAATCTCATGTTGCAATGTGATCCTCAGTGTTGGAAGTGAGGCTTATTTGGGAGTTTTTTGGGTCAAGTGGGCTGATGCCTCCTGAATGGCTTGGTAATCATAAATTCATGTGAGATCTGGTTGTTTAAAAGATCCTGGCCCCTTCTTCCTTCTATCTTGCTCTCTCTCTCTTGCCACGTGACATGTGACATGCCTGCTCTCCTTTTACATTCTACCATGATTGGAAGCTTCCTGAGGCCCTCACCAGAGGCAGATGCTAGCACTATGCTTCTTCCACATCCTGCAGAATTGTGAGCCAAAATAAATTTCTTTCCTTTATATACTACCCAGTCCTCAGATATTCCTTTATAGCAATGCAGAATTGACTACTGCACTACCCAAAGTTGTCTATAGATTTAGTGTAATTCCTATGAAAATCCCAATGTCATTTTTTTCACAGAAATAGAAGAAACAATTCTAAAATGCATACAGAATCACAAAAGATCCTGAATAGCTGAAGAAATTTTGAGCAAAATGAGCATAGCTGGAGGCATCACACAACCTGACTTCAAAATATATTACAAAGCGATGGTAATTAAAACAGCATGGTACTGCATAAAAAAATAGAAACAGACAAATAGGTCAATAAAATAGAATAGAGAGCCCAGAAATAAATCAACACCTTTATGGTCAATTGATTTTTGACAAAGGTGCTAAGAATACACAATTGGGAAAAAAAACAGCTTCTTCATAAATGGTGCTAACAAACCTGGATATTCACATGTCAAATAATAAAATTGGACTACTATCACACATAGCATACAAAAATCAACTCAAAATGGAATAAAGACGTAAATAGCAGGGGGTGGGGGGCTAAGGGAGGGATCGCATTAGGAGAAATAACTAATGTAGATGATGGAGTGATGGGCGCAGCAAACCACCATGGCACGTGTATACTTATGTAACAAACCTGCATGTTCTGCACATGTACCCCAAAACTTAAAGTATAATTAAAAAAAGAAATTCTTTGTGATGTTTAAGTAGGAGCTATTTTTTTATGTTGGACAAAATGAAAAGCACAAACTTCATAGATAAGAAAGTTGATAAATTGTATTTCATTCAATTAGATACTTCTGCTTCTTGAAGAGCACCTTTAAATAATGAAAAGAACAACTATACACTGGGAGAGACTGTCACAATACATAAATACAGAAAACTTGTAAAACTCAGTAATAGTAAGCAAATGACTCTACTATGAAAAACAGATTATGTTACATCCAGGCAACGGAAAATGGAATTTCCACTCGTCAGCAGAAAGAAAGAGGCTGCTGACCCACATAACAACACAGATGATTTGCAAAAACATTACACTGAACTCAAGAGGCTCGACACAAAAGAGTGCATAGTGTATGATTCAGTTTCTTTGAAATTCTAAGAGAGGCAAAACTAACCTATAGCGACAGAAAGTGTGTCAATTTTTGCCTATTGTTAGGGCTTGGGAAAATTGACTAAAAAAGGGGCATGAGGGAACTTTTGGGGATAAAAATATTCTGCATTGGAAGTGTTGTAATGGTTGCATGGGCGTATACATTTGTCAAAACTCATTGAACTGTGCTCTTAAAATGAGTGCTTTTTATTGATGTGTAAGTATATCCTGTTAAAATTGATTTTAAACCAATCACACCTTTGAGGCAGGCTCAAAGCACAGACCTACGTCTCATTCATATACATAGTTTGGCTGCATGAGAATAATTCAGTCTGGAACAACTCTGCAAGTCCAGTTGATCTTCCTATTTCAGGTCTCCTCCAAACTCAAGAGGGTAATTCTCTGACTTTCTAGGGGCACTTCTTAGAGATTCGGTATAGCCAATGGAGAGCACCTGAGAAGTCCATTTGCTCATAGCAAAGCTGCAACCTCAGACCTGAGGTCTGGGGCCAGATCTCCAGCTATGAGAGAGGAGATGAGGGCTGAGTTGCAGAAGGTCAGAGTAGCAGGAAACCTGACGAGACGTAACACAGGAGGACGCTGATCTTAGGGTGTGAGATCGGAGCTAGTCACAGCAAAGGTGCAGCACTGAGAACGAGCTTTCTCGTTGTTTCTGGGCCTCATGGTGCTCTGTTAAAGCTTCTTTGCTAAGACTTGTAGACACCAGGGTGGAGCCAGGCATTCATTTAGAGGTCAGGTGTCAGGTCTGACCTGCTGTGGGTCCCTCCTACAGGGGCCAGAAGGGGCTGAAAGCATTCCTATGGGGTAGAGCAGGCCCCTGTAAGTGCTTGAAAATCAGTTCCTCTTCTGCCTCTAGTTTAGTCAACATTTCTTTCCCTCCCCATGTCAGTGGGGGAGGACAATCAATTCTTCACACTGCCCTGGCAAGGAATCATTACAGTGCAGCCGTTCGCCCGCCAGCTGTGCTCACTCTGGAATCTCAGCCTCTGAGGTCATTTGTTTGCCACCTGCACCTGCTTTTATGACTTTTCCTATGTCTTGCCACCCCTTCTTTAAATCTTCACAAAATATGGACCTTAGATTATTGACTAGGCACTTCTGTGTCTGTACTTCCATTTTCAGAAAGTTGCAAATTGCTTTCTTTTCTTATAAAAGTTTTTTTAAAATGCAGGTAAGCTTTCTTCAAAGTAATATATTCTTATAGGTATTTCTAAACTACAGAGAAGTGAAAAAGAAGAATTAAAAATCACCTTTAATTCCAGCCTCTTAAAGTAAAATAATCACCATTTACATTTTATTGAATTTCCTGCTGGTAGGGACTGAGTTTACTTGTGCTCTGGCTTATTGCAAGAAGGATTCAGGATAGTTCACGTGGCCTGTTCCTGGCAGCTAAGACCTTGCCAATCTTCATTTCCTTTGTATCATCTGTGCTTAACCCAGTACCTGGGTATACAGAGCATTTAAGAAATATTTTCCAAATAAGTAGGTGAATAAACATCATTATAAGCCTGAGACATTTCATTCCAGACTTGCTTATCCTTTTCCAGCTTATCCTTACTCTGGCCAGATGGGACATGTCCCAGAGGTAGGCCATTCTTGGAAAGGGAAGAATAGTTCCTTAAGTGAGGAACGGCTCGCTGGACCAGGACTCTTGATAAATGATGTAGTAGGAACATTTCGTTGTACAAACTACTGATGAGTATATAATTGATAATAAGAGCTAATAATTATTATGAATGTATAATATACTTGTTACTGCTCCAAATTATTCATATTAACTCATTTCCTACAATCACTCCATGAAATAGTGGCTATATTATGCCTAATTTATAAATCCGGAAAGTAAGGATCAGAGAGGCTACATAACCTCTTTTTTTTTTTTTTTTTTTTTTTTTTTTTACTTTATGTTCTGGGGTACATGTGCAGATCATGCAGGATTGTTACACTGGTACA